GCTGAGAAAAAAGTGTAACTGCTTGATGTTGGGTGGTATATTCTATATATGTCAATTAAGTCTAGGTTATTAATTGTGTTATTGAGTTCTATAGTTTCCTTATTCAACTTTTGTTTGGAAGATCTGTCCAGTGGTTACAGAGGTGTGTTGAAGTCTCCCATGATTATTATATGGTGGTCTATTAGACTCTTGAACTTGAGAAGAGTTTGTTTGATGAACATAGCTGCACCATTGTTTGGGGCATATATATTTATGATTGTTATGTCTTGTTGGTGTATGGTTCCCTTGAGCAGTATGTAGTGTCCCTCTTTATCCCTTTTGATTAACTTTAGCTTGAAATCTATTTTATTTGATATGAGTATGGACACTCCTGCTTGTTTCCGAAGTCCATATGAGTGATATGATTTTTCCCAACCTTTCACCTTCAGCCTATGTATGTCTTTTCCTATCAAATGCGTCTCCTGTAGGCAGTATATTGTTGGGTCTTGTTTTGTGATCCATTCTACTAGCCTGTGTCTCTTAATTGGTGAGTTTAAGCCATTAACATTTAGGGTTATTATTGAGATATGGGTTGTTCTTACAGCCATATTTGTTTATTTATGTTATTAAACATGGTTTGTTTTCCTCTTTGATTATTTTTTCCTCCTTTACTGTCCTACCTCCCACTGTAGGTTTTCATTGTTATTTTCCATTTCCTCTTCCTGTAATGTTTTGCCGAGGATGTTTTGAAGAGATGGTTTTCTAGCTGCAAATTCTTTTAACTTTTGTTTATCGTGGAAGGTTTTAATTTCATCTTCCATCCTGAAGCTTAATTTCGCTGGATACACAATTCTTGATTGGAACCCATTTTCTTTCAGTGTTTGAAATATGTTATTCCAGGATCTTCTAGCTTTCAGAGTCTGTGTTGAAAGATCAGCTGTTATCCTGATTGGTTTACCCCTAAATGTAATCTGCTTCCTTTCTCTTATAGCTTTTAAAATTCTCTCCTTATTCTGTATGTTGGGCATCTTCATTATAATGTATCTAGGTGTGGATCTCTTATGATTTTGCACATTCGGCATCCTGTAGGCTTCTAGGATTTGGGATTCTGTCTCATTCTTCAAGTCTGGGAAGTTTTCTCATATTATTTCATTGAATAGATTGCTCATTCCTTTGGTTTGAAACTCTGTCCCTTCCTGTATCCCAATGACTCTTAAATTTGGTCTCTTTATGTTATCCCATATTTCTTGGATGTTCTGCTCATGGTTTCTTAACAGTCTTGCTGAGCTGTCTATGTTCTTTTCAAGTTGAAATACTTTGTCTTCATTGTCTGATGTTCTATCTTCTAAGTGTTCTACTCTGCTGGTAGTATTCTCCATTGAGTTTTTAAGTTGGTTTATTGCTTCCTGCATTTCTAGGATTTCTGTTTGTTTGTTTTTTATAACCTCTATCTCCCTGTATAGTTGATCTTTTGCTTCCTGGATTTGTTTGTGTAATTCATTCTCGAAGTGATTTTTCATTGTTTGATTTTGCTGTCTAATGTCTTCCTTGATACTCCAGATCATCTGAAGCATGTATATCCTGAATTCTTTATCTGACATTCCATCAGCTGCAGCTATTACCTCTTCTAAAGTTGAGTTGACCTGCATTGCTTGTGGTCCTTTCTTTCCTTGTCTTTTCATACTGCTTGCATTTCTTTCTGCTTGGTGAAACTGTTGTGTTTTTGAAATTTTCCCCTTATATATTTATATTGCTCTTGTATAGTTGAAAAGTCTCCCTTACAGGGTCGGGCGGCGGCTGTGCTCTTCCTCCAATTGGGGTGATCTCTCTACCACGCTGACGGGCAGCTGGGCCTGTCCTGCCGGTCGGTCGCAGGTCTGCCTACCTTGCGAGCGTGGGTGGCGGCTCTGCTCTGCCCCTACTCCAATTGGGGTGACGTGTGTACCACGCCGGCAGGCCGCTGGGCCTGATCCCCCGGTCGGTTCAAAATATTGTTTCTAATATGGCAGAACAAGTCAGAGCATGCAACCTCCCAGGAGTACACACAATGGCAAGTAGCAAAGACATTTGACCTCAGGATATTTTAAATGTCCCTTCCTATACAGAGTTCAGTTTGTATATTGGACCAAATCCAAAAGCAGAGCTAAAATGGATATAGCTGAGTCTCTCTGCTGAGCATATGAGATAAAAGTGAAAAAGGCAGTTCAACTCATAAGGGAATTATACTCCTCTCCCATGATAATTTTCTCTTTGCTTTGATAATTATGGGGGTTCCTAGCAACCTGCCTATTTTCCACTCACATGCCCCAGATGGTATCTTATTCATCAATGTGCCCAAACCCCTTTCTCAGAGGGCATCCTCCATGCCACACAAGAAATCTGATAAGAAACTATTCTCAAACACATGTGGGAAGGGAGGAATCCCCATGGTAGATTTTGTCAGTCTCTCTAGTCTTTCAATAAAATGATGATGAAAGATTTCCAGACGTTTAACACTGACCAACAATGTGAAAGAAAATAAATTAACAAAAGAACAGCTATTCCAAAGAAAATGAAACAGGCTAAAATGTATAATAACAAAAATTTTTTTAAAAAAAATCTAATTTGTATTTTCAAAGAAATTTAATAAGCTGTTGAATCTACAAGCCAAAACAAGGTTACTGTGAGAAAAGAGTAATTACAGTAGTCCTTGGAAAAAGAGTTCCTTATAATTAATAATGAGTATCAAAATATAGTATTCTAAAAATAAAATTAACAAATTCATAATAAAAAAACAGAAACAGACAAAGGAAGAATAGTTGAGAGGAAAGGAACACAGAGTACTCATGTAGAAGGACCAAGTAATTTCATAAATGAATAGAAAAATTGAAGAAATAAAATCCTCTGAAAAATACTGAAAGAAAATTATCCTGAGTTAAGGATGAGAATTTAAATTACAACACCAAAAAGCTTTGTAAAGAATGTCTTCAATATAAAAATCAACATGACACAAATTGTGAAAAGGACCAAAGTGTATGATTATCACATTCTGCTTGTGAGATGAAGATATACATTCCTTTTGATTAAAGCAATGACTCATGTGAACCAATTACATTTTCACAATTGGGAAAACTGGGTATCTGATCAAAAAGTTTTGTGTTTGAACAAAAGGTACTATGATGTTTTAACAATTAATAGAAAGGTAAAAAAAAACAATGCTGCCCTAGATACAGGCAAATTGTCTTTAGGTAATTCAGAACTGAGACAAGCCCTCTTCAAGTTTCTAACAGATTTTACTTAACATCTTAGAAGAGATGCTTCATTTACTAAACTTATGCAAGTCAAAATAAATCATGACAAAACTGAATGTTTTTCATTATCCTAACCTATTTTTAACTTGAGCAGATTGTTTTATACACAAAAAAATTTGAAGAATCCATTATTAAAAATGTGGCAGTTCCTTCCATTTTAGTTTTCTTTTGCTGCCTATTAATCTGAGTAAAATAATATCTAATAATATTTTCTTAGAAAAAAGTTAAATGATTATATATAGGTGGTAGAACTAGGATATTTCCTATTTTCTTTTATGTATTTATTATTTCCCCTTTTCATTCCCTACCTCGAACCTTCTAATACCCTGATTATTGTGGCTGCACTGTAAGATAAAACAACGGACTGATGTGTATTCTACCTTTGATGTATTCACTGATGGTTGGACAGAATTGACTATGTCACATGTTCCATGTAAGTGGAAAATAGTATTTGTTTCGTCTTCAAAATAGTGATAATATTTAATAATATTTGCCTTATCCTGCTTCATTGGAATATGTTTACTATCCAAACCCTTATCTAACAGTTGTCAAATAATTGTCATTGGAAGGATAGAAAAGCCAATTCTTTTTCACTTATAATGGCTTAGTACCAACTTAAATATGTCATGCTTGAGTATAGGAATCTAATTCTTAGAATTGCAGCCTTGTTGCAATAGGATATCAACAAGATATGGGAACTTATCAAATAGTTCCAAATTTGGCTTAGTATATTTCACTGCCTCTTTTAACTTTTACTTCTCCCCACAATGAATGAAAGAATAACTAATGAGTGGACGAACTAATAAAATAGGAATTCAAATGTGATTTGCCTGACAAAACTCTGTGTCAGTTTTGCAAGTGTGATATTTAGAAAATGCCAGACAGGAAAATAGCTTTCCTAACCTGAGGAGGGAAATAACATTTGGACTATTATAATCTCTTTGGACTCTTGGTGAGAGAAAATTATTTAGATAACAATTTGATCAAATCAAGAGACCAGGTAAATTTTTCAAGTGAATTGAATTACCATCCATTGAGAATTGATAAATTGGTAATGAACAATAGACTTTAATAGACAAAGTATCAAACAAAAGAATTTTCCACATCAATTCCACTATATGGGAGTCTGATAGGCCTTATCTTCTGATATTGATGATTGCCTGATGAATATCTAAGACACTTTAGATAAAGTTAGATCCTACAGCATTCACTCATAGAGTCCCTCACACTTATAATTGGTATCCTGGGGTCACTTCTATTACTTAAGAATTCCTAATTGCTGGAGTGCAAGCAGCTGTTTTCTTTTGATTTGCTGTTCACTATTCTAAGAAAGCGTTCCCCAAATATACTCTTGACCTGCTCCTCCAACCTTCTGAGCATCATCTTAGAGAGTCTTTTTTTGACTACTCTATATAAATTCCCAGTGCTTTCTCATTTTCCTGATTCCTTGACCTTCCTTTACTTTCTCCACAGCACTTATTACCACCAGAACTATGTGTGTTAGTGTATTCATTGTTTACTTATTATTATTCATTTTCTCACAATAATGTAAGCTCCCTGAAGAACAGGCATAGTCATTTCCTTAGCCCTGTCATTATCATGAACTGAGAAAGCATCCAGGAAGTCCTTGCTATATCAATAAATGCAGTCAATGATTCCTTTTATATATATATATATTTTATTTTAAATCCAATAAATATTGTAGAAGAGGTCTGACGTTGAAGAAAGTCAGTCAACATTTTCTACTCTTTACTATTGAAAGAAAAAATTTTGACATTGTAGTAGGGAGGAAAGAAATTTCATCAGAAGCACAGATAAGTTCATGCCAAGAAAAACTGGGAAGTTAAAGTTAGCATCAGGAGCCTTGTTCTTCCAACTCAAGAAATCTGAGGAGGGAAGATGGCAAGACTCTCCACCCCAGCTGTAATAGCAGTGACACACAAATCTATTCTTCATGTCCATTATTGTCTGCAGTTTGCTCTTTTCAGAAATGACAAATCTGAAGCTCTTTTGTGGAACATATTTCTTTCTGCTGCTTTCAGGCATATGCAGATAAGAGGAGGATTCAGGTGTTTTTCGAACACATCTTCCATGACTGTTGCATAGACTTTGACTGCAGAGCTTGGCTGCAGATGTTACATTAACAGCATAGTGTCCCAGTGGCCCTTGAATAGATTGTTGCACAGATAAGCAGGTCTCCTACAGGAAAAAATAGAAATCTGCTTAAAGCACTCTCACAATGTGGTTCTATAATCCAGGTGGAATTAATGCCTGAAGTTTTGCAGTTGGTAAAGTGAAAGAAGAAGAGTATTTTCATTGATTAATCATTTAAGTAAGGATAAGCTTAATATGTTCACAGAAACGATGAGCCATGCCTTTGATTAGGAAGAGTCTTATCCAAACAAGTTTTGTATCATTTCTAGGGGGAGATGAACATGAAGATCATCTGGAGACAATTCCCTGAGGTAAACAGAAGATTCAAATGAAGAATCATAAAACAGAATAAAGCTCTTAATGACAGGTAGTTAAACAAGGTAACATTTGGGAAAATAGCAGGTTCTGAAAATCATGTGAGTAATATTATTTGTTTCAAACACAATTGATCTGAGCCAGTCTCATACTTCATTTAGGAAAAAATGTTATTTTTAATTAGGACAAGGCTCCCTGTCTGAGCCATCTGAAGAGGTTTCTAAGAATGATGGAATAAAATAAAACAAGAAAACAATTGGACTAAAGAAGGAGGAGGAGGCGAAATAGGGAAAGAGTAAAGAAAGAAGGGGAGGGGAAAGATGGAAAGGATTTTGGGGAGCTATAATTAAGAGAGCATAAACCCAAGCAAGTACAATCAAATATAACTTAGGTGTCACCTGGTCTTTCTCAATCCCACACCAGGAAACACCTTGTTCACTTAACTTCCAGAATATTACATTGCCCTGTTTTTCTTTAGCCAACCCACTAAAGCTTCTTCTTAGCTTTCTTTAGCAGCTTCTGCTCATCTTTTCTATGTTTTGATTGTGAAGTGTCTTAGGCTCAAGTCTTGGACATTTTGTCTTCTATAGCTATACACTTTCTCTGGATAAACTCATCCCAACTCATTGCTTTAAGTATAATTCCCAAACGTATAATCTCCCTGACCTTATCCCTGAACTGATTGCTTACTCACCTAATTATTTTATATCTCTATCTGGATGTCTGACAAGCATTTCAAACTTAATGTACTTCAATCTAATCCACTGACCCACTTTCCACCCTAGAACTCTGGCAGCCTTATTCATCTTTGCACGTGCCAACTTCCTCTTTTCAATGCCTCAGGAACAAAACCTTGGAGTCATTCTTTTTTTTTTTTTTATTGGTTGTTCAAAACATTATAAAGCTCTTGACATATCATATTTCATACATTAGATTCAAGTTGGTTATGAACTCCCAATTTTACCCCAAATACAGATTGCAGAATCACATCGGTTACACATCCACATTTTTACATAATGCCCTATTAGTAACTGTTGTATTCTGCTACCTTATTCTTAACTGCTTATCTATTCACATTTAGTCCATCAGCAAATCCTTTTCAGTATACCTTCAAAACATATCCAGAATTCAACAATTGCTACCAACCTGGTTCAGGTCACTACCAAATCTCACCTATTGCAATAGCTTCCTAACTAGTCACTCCCAATCCATTCAAAACACAGTATATATATATAAGTTAATAATAAATGAGGTAAGCCAAAATTTCCTAGTTTTGCGCAGATTAAAAATGCTCTCCCAAGTAATAACTTGGTCAAAGAAAAAAATTTTAAATATATTTCCAAACAAATTATAAAATAGCAATTAGAACACTATGTCTTAAGATTTACTAATACAGCCACAGCAATTTTCTGCATTATAAGCCTAACCATAAATGTTTTTGCCAACAGGCAATTCAGTCATTAATTCAGAAACAAGGCTCTGTGGCACTGCCTTTCACTTAGACCATTCAGCTGTGCAGCCCTGTTAAGTGCTAGCTGATAGGGCACTAAGAGGTGCTCTTCCTACCTATGCTTTCCTCCATGCTTCCTGTTACTCCAGTTCTCTACATCCTCAGTCACCTTTCTATTCTTGGAAGCTCCATTGTAGTTGCTACTTGTTTCATCGGATGAGTGGATTTCCTGTCTCCATCTCATTACCAGTAGCTGGTCACCAGTTTCCTAGGACTCAACAAATGGCATTTCACCATTACGTCAAACACTGCTGAACTTCAGGGTATCTGTTCTTAACTTCTAATTTAAATCTTTATCCAAATAAATATACCCGACTTATTCATTTGTTTCCATTAATTCAACTCTCTTTTATGATTTACAAACTCTCAATAAACTAGGGGGAAAACAATAGAAAACTAGAGGGAAAAAATGAACTTAACTAACATTATAGTCAACTGTGGGAGGTTGGAGACTTTTCTTCTAAGATAAGGAAAAGGACAATGATGTTTAATCTGACAATATAGTACTAGAAGTCATAGAATAATTAGGCAAGAAAAACAAAATAAAATGAGTCCAAATTGGAAGATAATAAGTAAAATTATCCTGTTTGTAGATAATAAGATCCTATATGTATAAAACCCAAAAGACCATACACACACACACACACACACATAAATGTAGTGATAGAAATAAACAAAGTCAGTAAAGTTGCAGCATACAAAATGAACATACAAAAATCAGTTCAATTTCTATATACTCATAATGAATCATCTAAAGAGGAAATTTAGAAATCAATCCATTTTAGAGGAAATAGGAATAGGAAAGACAGTAGAATAAATCTAATATAATTTCCTATATACAAATATGAAAATAGCTAAGTGAATCCCATCATCATGCACACTCATAAGATTGGGATTATAATTAGAATAAGACATATTCCATGCTTGTATAACTTCATCAGAATGGAATCTACTGACATGTATAACTAAGAAGAACCAATTAAAAATGAAATAGCTTCAAAAAGAATAAAATAGGGGGGCTGGCATTGTGGCTCAGTGGTAGCGTGCTTGCCTAGCAAGCGCGAGGCCCTGGGTTCAATCCTCAGCACCACATAAAAACAAATAAAGGTATTGTGTCCAACTACAACTAAAAAATAAATATTTAAAAATAATAATAAAATAGGAATAAACCAGGGAAGTTAAAGATTTTTACACTGAAAAAACACAAATACATTAATTAAAGAAATTAAAGGACACAAAAATAAATAGACATCCCATGTTCATGGATTGGAAGACATAATATCATTAAAATTCACATACTACTCAAAGTGACTTACAGATTCAATGCTATTCCCATAAAAATATCAATGGTATTTTTTTATAGAATTTGAAATTTTTTTTCTAAAATCCTTATAGAACCACAAAAGACCCAGAAAAGCCAAAGTGTTCTTCAGAAAGAACAAAACTGGAAGCCACACACTTCCCATGCAAAGTATGTTAAAAAACCACTGTAACTAAAACACTATGGTACTGGAATTTTAAAAAGAATATATAGATCAAAGGAACAGAATAGTGTCCAGAAATAAGCCCACATATACATGGCCAACTGATCTTTGAAAAGGGTGCCAAAAAAACACTATAGGGAATAGACAACCCTGTCAACAAATAGAGTTGGGAAAACTGGTCTAAATGAAGCTGGACTTCTGCATTACACCATACAAACAAATCAGTTCAAAATGGATTAAAAATTGGACATTTAAAACTCCCAAAAGCAAATATAGGGTAAAAACTCTTTGGTATAGATTTTGGCAATTATTTCTTGGGTAGAACAGCACAAGCACAGGCAACAAAAGCAGCAATGTACAAGTGGGACAGCATTGAACTAAAATGCTTCTGCACAGCAAAGGGAGAGCAAAGCACTTAGCAGAATGAAAAGAGCCCATGCAATGATAGAAAATATAAGCCAACTCTTATCTCTGATGAGAGGCTAATTTTCAAAACATGGAAGGAACTCCTACCATGACTCAATAGCAAAAGAAAAACAAAAACATACACATATTCAAATAACCCAATTTTTAAAAATAGGCAAAGGACTTTAACAAACATTTCCCCCAATAAAAGACATACAAATATCCAACAGACATAAAAACATGCTTGGCATTGTTAATTATCAGGAAAATGTAAATCAAAATTACAATGAGATAACAGCTCATACCTGTTTGGGTAGCTAAAATTTAGTAATAATAATAACAACAACAACAAAAGTTATTGAGGTTGTAGAGAAATTGGAACACTTTCACCCTGTTGGTATGAATGTAAAATGGTATAGGAGCCATGGGAAGAGTTATGGCGTTCCTCAAAAGATTAAAAATAGAACCACCATATGATTCATACATACATACATACATACATTCATGTGGATATATATCTGCACATAGTTATGGGTACAGATCCAAAACACTTGAAGTCATGATTTTGAAGAGATCTACACAACCATATTCACTGCAGAACTCATGATGAACAAGTATGAAAACAATCCAAGTATCAACAGATGAATGGAGAAAGATACTGTGATACATATGTACAATGGGATGTTATTTACCCTTAAAAAGAAGGAAATCTTGCCAGGTGTGGTGGCACAGGCCTGTAATCCCAGAATCTCAGGAGGACTATCGAAAGTTCAAAGTTCAAAGCCAGCCTCAACAACTTAGTGAGGCCCTAAGCAATTTAGTGAGACCCTGTCTCTAAATAAAATATTTAAAAGGCCTGGGGATGTGGCTCAGTGGTTAAATGCCTCTAGGTTCAATCCCTGGTACCAAAAAATAAAATAAAATAAGAAGGAAATCTTGCCATTTGTGACAACACAAGAGTGAATCCAGAAAACATTATGCTAACTTAAATAAGGCAATCAGAGGAGGACAAATACTGCATGATTTATACAAGTGTTCTAAAAAGTCAAACTTATGGAAGAAGAGAATACAATAGTAGGGGTCAAGGGTTAGAGGACAGAAAATGGAGAGTTGTTATTCAAAGATTCATTCATCTTAGTTACAAGTGCTAGAGATGTACTGTATGACACAATATCTATAGTTAACAGTATTGTGTTAGAACTTTGCTAAAATTTTTTAAGATAGATCTCATGTTAAGTGTTTTTACTGTGAAATGGGAAAAGAAAATTTTTCATAAACCTTTACATAAAAATAGTTTACTTCCCATGCATATTTCTGTCACAGTAATCAGAAAAATAAAGAATAATTTATGGAGCATCCACCTTCAGTGTAGATGAAATAATTATTTTTTAAATATTAGATCATTTTCTTTGTCCTATGTACAAATATTTTCTTTGTCATGTCATATATAATGGCATCATACATAATATATAGTGTATTATAATATATAATGCCACTTCGTTTACTAAAATTCCTGCATATTCAGCTTAATTCTAGTTCTGTTTTTATATGCAGAAGCTGAGACTCCAAGAGGTTAATTAATGTGCCCCAAATTAGACCTGCAGAATGAAATAATCAGTCTCTCACTTTGGGCAGCCTGATGAGGAGGGTGCTCTTTCTACACCTATGCTAACTATGGTGGTTGGTATAAAGTAGGTGCTCAAACAATGTCAATCCCTATACTCTTTGAACTTCATTTAAGTCAGGTGAGCAGACAGTCAGTCACCAATGGACCTGATGTGAAATATTTTCAAGCCACTCTCTAGAGTGTATTCAAGAGGCTGACAGAAATAATTGCTTACCTTTGAACCAGAATATTCATTTCCTCCCCACAATATTATTCCTGCTGCCCCCAATGCAGCACTTTCACCAATGGTGTGCACTAAGTCCTCCTAGAAAAGAGAAGTATCAGAAGCATTTTCTGCCAAATCACATTTAGTCATTGATAATTTAATAATATAAGGCTAAACCCATCAACTGTGGTAAAGAACACATTAATAATGTCATCTCTGTTTCTAAAAAGACTACAGCAGAACTAGAAAGAAGGATTCTGCCTTGTATTCTTAGTTTATTCCACAAATAGTTATGATGTTCCAGGCAATATTCTAGGCAGTAAACCAGATTTCAGTTCCCATACTTGAGTAAATTCTTTAGAGTGATGTTTGAGACAGACATGTACACAAGAAGTTGCAAATGTAATAAATTAATAGCTATATTAATAGCACCCAGAAAGCATATATAAATGAGAATAAATTCTTGATTCTGCATAGAAGAGTCTGAGAGGGCTTCCTTGAACAGGTGAAATTTCAGGTAGGTCTTTGAGAATGAGAATGAATTCACAAGGCAAAAAAGAGAGAAAGAGTCTTATGCCCAGAAGGAAGATACAGAGGCTCATATGCAAAGAAGAGCATTGTCTACAGAGAGAATTGCCAGGAACTCCTTGTGGTCAACCACACGTGTTTGGGGAGAAGTGAAAGCACATGAATCCTTGTAGATAAGCAGAATCCAAATGCAAATTAGACTTCATGGATTACTGTTATATTCTACTGTTCTTGTTTGTAACATTATTCCCAACAGATTATAGACACTCAATAAATTATTTTAAATGAATAAATACTAACCTACTCTTTTTTTCCCAAAAGGATTTGTAAAAGTGGCATGATTTGAGAAATCTGTCACTTGAGTAATACCTTAGTGAAAACACTTTGGTAAGCCTAATAAGTGTCTTAAAATATTTAGAGTGGCCTTTGAAAGAAAGATTTAATTTATTCTATGCTGTACCAGAAGGTGAAATGGGAACTAGTGATCTGAACTTAGACAGAGGCAAAGTAAATTCAACATACTCAAGAAATTTCTAGGCATTAATATTGTCCCCAAACAGCAGTTCTCCTTCTGATACAGCAACCACCCCACCAAAAAGTGCAAAGGCAGAAGCCAGGCCAAAAAAAAAAAAGGATTTTGTGTGTAAGTAGGAAGTAGATTAGATACAATGCCACCGTGATGCTAGAATTCTTTCTCTCCTAAATTTATTAAATCAACTCTCCATTTGCATAACACTTAGAAATCCTACAATGATAAAACACCTAGTCAATAATATTTCAGTCAATAGTTTAAGTTTGATATTTTTAGGAAGAATTACTACTGTTTCAAACATAAATGGTCTAAGAAAGTGAGCTGTGTGTTATTTTCAACAGTTCTATATAGAGTACTAAAATTATAGAATGGTTGGTTCTCAGGTATGAATGGATATTTAATAGTTTTTGTTACATAGCCACCTATCTAATGACTGCATCCTTACATTAATGTCCTAAAGTGATGAACACTTGCAGTGTCCACAAACTCATTATCTTCCAAACAAGTTCATCCCCTCATCTCTGCATCCTGCTTTGGCTTAAGCCTAAAGACAATATCTATTTGTATAAATCACTTTTAATCCCATGATACTACTAGCTCACATTGTAGACTCTTAAAGAAATAATCAACATGATCCATGCTAAGTTTTCAGTTAACCTAATAAATTAAAACAGAAAAATGTAATACAATGAAAAATATAACTGGTTCAGAATTTACCCAGAGCTCCATTTAGTATGAATCTGACTTGGAGAACTGCTGTGTATGCTCTCATATTAAGAAGCTGATTTTGAAATGTATCCCTGGTTAATATTAATCTGTTACATTATTTAACTTTAAATTTAAAATTGTTCTGCAAGAAACCATTGTGAATCCTAAGCTGATAAGAATCATTATCCAAAATCTCTAAGCACACTTTTAGTTGCCATCATTCTGTTTCAGTGGGTTGACATTTGAAGAAATACATGCCTCTAATAATAGAACTGCATTCCATTATCAAGGGGAAAATATCCCACAATGTTTCTTTCTAGACTTTAAAACATTCTACTAAATTTATATTTTTTTAAATGTGAATAAATGTACCTTTTCTTACCTCTGACAGAACTTCAATACTTTTCAAATAAAATGGTCTGGAAAAAATAAAAACTGGCAAAGCATAATCTTGTCTAGCCATTTCAGCAATTCTCATAGCTTCTCTAATTCGATAATGAACAAATTTCAATGCATTTAAACTTGACTTTAGTATTTTATCCAAATATATTGAAGGAAAAAGTGCTGTGCTTTTGTTCCACAGCCAAAGGAGCTGGTCATTGCGGAAAATCTCATCATTTGGGCAATTACCTGTATAGAACTCTGGGTTTATCCTGTAATCATAATTGTAGCAATCTGGATAGAGATAAAAGCCCCATAAATGTTTTGGTCTCATTTCTAAAGCCAATGTGAGCGTGACATTCATAAAACTCCTTCCAGCCTTTTCGAATTCCTGTTGGGCGACTGTTTTCACTTTGGCTTCTGGCCACTCAGGGTGATGCTGTCTCGTGAAGGCTAAGGAGTGCTTTTTATATATTATTCTGCTGCCCCAGTTCCTCTCCCACTGGGGCTTCCAACCTTCCCAGTCAATAATAACAAGTCCTTCCGACTGCCACCAAGAGACAGCTTTGGCAATATCTTCAGCCGTTTTCTTAACGTGTTTAGAAAGGCTCATATTCTGCGGTATTCCTCCATTAAAGGATTTTCCATCTTGGGAGAAAAAAGGATAATATCCCAATTCATTTGGATAGAATATGGCAATTGTTGATCCACTGTGAGTCTCTAAAGGATTTGATATAATGTTAAATGATTGAAGGTTCAGATTCACCTTGAAGAAATCCTTACAATAAACTGTCGAAGCTGCCCAGAAAATGTTGAAAGGCTGGTCTTTGATCACGGGAGGCATTGCTGGTTTGAGGGCTGATTGAGTGACTGTGATGAAAAGCAGCAGCACCCCTGAGCGGGTCACCCCCAGGTTACACATGGCTCGTACTTCTCAGCATTACAGCAGTCCCTTAAAAATGAGAAGAAGAAAATTATACAGGATGGAGTCAAATGGTACACAATAAATTGAATATTTTAAAAGATGAGGTTCAGTGATATGTAGGCTGCATTTATACTTTCATCTGAATAACGGAAGAAAAAGGAAACATTTTTTTTTCCTTGAAATGTGAAGGGGAAAGATCCAGTGAATAAAAACTTCCTACAAACCCTCAACTAAGGAAGTTGGATGGTTTGACATAACTTTCTTATGAATTACTGGAAAAGTAACTCCAGAGACATGCCCCGTTGAAAATTAACAACTATTGCATTTTAGCAGATTTTAAATGAAAGAGAAAGAAATAACAAACTGTTCTAAGCAGTAAGTAAAGAATATCTTTTATGCAATTTGAAATGAACTGGCCTCAAAGGGTTTTTTTTAATTGTTTTTAAAACAGAGAGCAATTATCCTTAGAACCAGCGTAGGCAAAACAGAAAACAGTGATGCTAATTATTTGTTGTTGATTATGGATTTTGGTGCCAGCATCTTCTCTGGAACACACAAATAAGTCTAAAAACCTGTCAGTTCTTTAACTCCATTGTTTTTCCATGAAGAAACTGGACTATTTTCAGCAGTTAAATTCCAAATGAAACTTGGCTCTGTAGTCCCCTCTAACAAGTCAGTTGGGACAAAAACTGCCAAAGAACCTTCCCAGAATACAAGGACTATCTCAGAATTGACACATTCCTGTCAGTAGGATCTCACCTGAAAAGCATATGGTTGAGGTTATGTTTCCAAGTTATTTTATAATGTACTATACAGTTTTTAAATACAGGAACCCAGAATTTTTTCTGAAATAATTAAAATCAGTGTCTCTAGCGAAAGAGTCAAATATTACTTCCCGTGTATGTAGTTCCTACTGTCATTATTTAATGTATTAAATGTAGGAAAAGACACCAGCCAAAATTACAAAACCTAGCACCCCAAGTTTGTAAAGAAATTCAAGGCTCTCTGTATGTTGACTTTTTATTTTATTTAATTAGTTAGTTACTAGAGATTGAACCCAGAGGGTCTTTACTACTAAGCCATATCCCCAGTACTTTTTATTTTTAATTTTGAGACAGGGTCCTTCCAAGTTGCTTAGGGCCTCGCTAAGTTGATGAGGCTGGCTTTGAACTTGTGATCCTCCTGCCTCAGCCTCCCAAGCCACTGGGATTACAGGTATTTGCCACTCTTCCCAGCCATATATTGATTTTTTAAATCAACAAATGTAAATGATAATTTACTCTTAAATTGGTTGGATTTTATTGAGACAGTGACTTTGTGTGGAATTTGTATGATGGCATCAAATGAATCTCTCACTAGAAATGTCTTCAGAGCCTGCATTCTTCTCTAAATATGGGACCTGAATGTGACTCCCTGAAAAAGAAGAGTAAACATTAATCTTTTTCTTTGTTATTCAGGGGAATGAATGTAACAGTGCCTACTCTCCATGAATATTATTCATTACTTCCCTTTTGTCATGACTGCACATGTTTGGCATAGATGCCTAATATACTGTGACACGTTGGAAAGAAAGTTTTGTTAAATGTCAGATCACTTTGAACTTTTCATAGACAAGTAGCTAAAAGTTTAATGTATGTACTTTAATAAAATCTACTTTTAATTTTCCTTTCTAGATTTTAATCATGTTTTTTCCTTCTGTTATATTTTTTATTTTTAATTTTTCATATTTGAATATATAAATATACACAATCTATCTTTGTCACTAGTTCATGGAGAACTTATTAAACATTATTTTAGTACTATCTTGGTCCCCATTATGCCTTTTATAACAAACATCTACTACAGTAATAAAATTATGAATTATGAATTTCATGACTCTTTCAATATAATGAATTCTTTCCATATGATATTTGATATTTACTGAGATTTTATTCCTTTTATAGCCATTTTTGCAATTCAAAGTATAAAACTGATCTAAGTAATCCAATTTATAACACATACACACACTTATAACATTTGAATTTATTGATTATTCGATACGTTTCAGGCAGTGACTCAGGTAGGTAAAGGTATGCCATGGTAAACCAACATAATTCTACACATCTCAAAACATTATAGATTGTAAAACACAAAATTATAAAACTACATACTATAAGTTAAAATAGAAAAAAAAATCTAAATTACATTTGGCATGGCAATGACTTCTCTGACATAACACCAAAGGGATGATCCATGGAAGAAACAGTTGATAAACTGGTCTTCATTAAAATTAAAAATGTCTGCTCCTTAAAAATATGACAAGACAAGCCACAGACTGGGAAAAGACATTTACAAAAGGCACATCCAACAAAGAGTTGTTATCAAAAATGTAAAATTCAACAAGAAAACAAAGAATAAGATTTTAAAATGTGCAGAATACTTGAATAGACATCTCACCAGAGAATGTACTAATGATACATAAGCAGATGAAAAGATGTTCAACATCACAGGCCATTAGGGAATTGCAAGCTAAAAAAAAACAACAATGAAATACCACTATGAACCTATTAGAATGACCAAATTTTAAAACAATTCCAACTCCAAATGCTGACAAAGATATTGAGCAACAGAAAACTAATTCATTGCTGAATGGGACAACCACTTTGTAAGACAGTTTGGCAGTTTCTCATTGAAACTAAATATATTCTTACCATAGGAACCACCAATCATAGATCTTAGCATTTCCCCCAGTGATTTGAAACATTATTAGTTTTATTACCTTTTTTTTTTTTTTTTTTTTTTTTTGAGACAGAGTTTTGCTAAATTGCTGAGGCTGGCCTTGAACTGGTTATCCTCCTTCCTCAGCCTCCCAAATTGCTGGGATTAAGGGTGTGCTGCCACTGTGCCACTGTGAACAGCATTACCACTTATATAGTAAACTCAGATCTAGTTACACAGAAAATCAAAGTATCAACAAATAATTTGAAATAATAGGCAAGCCTAACAGAGAGATAGATAGACAATTACCTATAAAAGTCATATATGTTTCTAGTCACCAACATGATTAAAGACAGAAAAATGAAAGAGAAGATTCAAAATGTGTATCAAGATACACTTTGGGAGACCACAATAGCTGTACTTCTTCCTTCTCCACCCTTGCCATTCCCAAGCAGCACTGCCTGCATTGATCTATGTGGTTCCCACATCTCCTAAACACTTAGGGAAAGGAGTCTGGAGATTAAGAGGGGCTTGTCTGAGATCCTGCTTAGGAGACCCCACCTCCATCATGGAAAATGAGAAGTGATTACAACTATAAACAGAAATGATTATGTCTAAGACAAAATATTTTAAATTCCCAGTAAGAGTCCACTGATAAAAAAGAGATCCATAATTTCTCATTCATAGCCAAGATTCTTAGAGATCTTAACACATGGATTTGACTTGGTGAACATTGAGAGTTGATGACACTGTGTTGATGACACCATGTCTAATGCTAAAGATGAACACAAAACCATTACCTCTAAGAAATTCAGTCTATTATGTGGAGGGAAGGTGGGAATGTATATGCACATTGGATACATGCACATGCATGAGGTAGGAACAGGGAGGCAAGGGATTTGTGTTTAGGATACCTGGAAGAATGGGATGAATGATGATTTTTCTCTTTTCAAAAACTAGTTGGTAAATTATATAATTGTTGCATTAAATAGAGAACATAAAAGGACAAAATCAGGATTAATGATATTCTCATTACTCAAAAGATATTTTTCTGGGCACCCTTACAGGCACTTCTCTTCCTACAAATCCACATTCTCCTAAGTTATAGCAGCATCTATACTGGGTTAAAATGTAGTGTTCATCAGTCCAGACACCCAGGCTTTCTATGAGCTCCCAGAGGAGCAGCCCCTTAACATCATCAGAAGTACAGATGCATCTTCTGATCTGCATGGAGCCAGAATGATAAGAGAAAAACTGAATCTGGCCTGTGGATAGGCTTCCAAATTTATAGGACCTGTTACATGAAATTTAGGCTTCTGAGAGTAGTGGAAGATAATACAAATGGTATGCAGCACACTCAAAGAATAGGTAGGTTGAGTTCCAGTGTCCAAAGATCAGAAGGAACAGGTACAGATACAGTGAGAAACTGAGCTTGATCATCTCCTGACCCACCCTGACTACTCCTTTCAAGAGCATGAATATTCTGGATAAAAGAGAGCCAACAATTCCCCCATGGAACTAAGAAAAATCTCAAGCTTCCCAGTTACCTGGGGAGATAAAAGGGGATCAGTATTCAATTGGCTGGAGTAGGTTGGCAGTCACACAGAAAGGGCTGGGACAAAATTGCTTGGGGAACTAAGATCATAGGGCATAAAGTAAATCCAGTGGGTGTAAGGGAGGCAAAGTTGCTAATTAAATGAGAAACTTCTCTCTCCCTTCCTTTAATACTCCTTTAGGTAAATCTTGGAGATGTTCCCAGGGCAAAAATTTAGGTCTGTGAAAACTGGAATTGGTAGTATTGCTACATATGAGAATCATTTATCTTAGATGGTAAGTCAGGAAATATATGTGCATAACCACACTTGGCATACACTTCTTTGCAAAAACAACAGTGTCACACTATAAAATGCAATTTGCTACTGTGTTTATTCACATCAGGTGGCTGGTAGTTTGTGAGAATAATCAGCTTGGTTAGGCAGGGAAAACAAGCTTCATTTTCTTAGCATAAAAATGTGGTATAGTGGTAGGCAACTACAAGATGCAGTCCAAGGATAAGACAATCTTAGAAATAACCTACATGTTCTGTGGAGGAAAATCAGTTCCCTAAGATGCTGAATGAGTTCAAATCATGAAGATATCAGATGTAGTTAATATCTAGACTAGCTTCACCAGAGGTGGAACCTAAGGCTTGATACATAAGCAGAAATCACAACAGGTTGACGTTTCAAAGGTACTCTAGAAGGAGGGGATAACAAGAGGAAAGAGGTAGAAAAAGAGAGACAAAGTGCATGTACAAGTGGTAACAGATATGGATTTCTGAAGTGGATGTA